ACAGGCAAAATAGACAAGAATGGATGGTAAGGAGAAGGAATAAGTACAAGAGGGACAAATACGGGCATATAGAAGGGGAGATCGACTATCAGGATAAAAATAATTTTGAAGCACTAAGGGACACAGAAGTAATAGATATAGAAAATAACAATGAAGATACAAGGGAAAAAGACAGTACTAAAGAGTGGGTGAACAAAACATTTGTCCACAAGGAGAAAAACGACAAAGGGGAAATGAAGGAGATTCACAAAGAGGACATGGGTAAGAAAATTGAGGCAGAGGGTAAGCAAGGAATGCAAGTGAAAGAAGCAGATAAAGAAAAGGCGGAAGAAAAGCTAATGGAGGGAAGTGGAGATATTGAAATCAATGAAGGTACTATAGTGGTGGCAGAAGTGAGTATTGAGGAAATATTACCACTGGCTTTTCAAATGGAAGATGAACAGGGGAGAGAAGAAGGAAAGAAGGAATTACAGCAGCTTTCAGAACAAAGTGTAAGGGAAGTAGAGAAGGACGACTTATCCCAAAATATAAGTCAAATGGCAGTGGAAGGTGATTTATCGCCTAAACATACAGGGAAGCTCAAAGGAAAATATACAAAACAAAGGGAACAAAGTGAAGAAAATCTTTCAAAGGCTCAAGCAGCATCTAGACAATCGAAGAGAACGATTGTCAAAAATTCCAAATATCAATGAAGGCTTTAATATGGAATATTAGGTCAGTAAACACTCAAAAAGCGTTTACAAGACTTATAAATCTCCATAAGAGATATCAATTTTATTTCATTGGATTAATGGAACCTTTTGAAGATAATCAAGGACTAGAGGAGTTTACAAGAAGATTGGGTAAGAAACAGGCAGTAGCTAGTACTAATGGCAAGATATGGGCTTTTATTGATGAGATTATGGAAATCGAACTGATTAGAGATGAAGAGCAGATGTTAACTGTCAAATTGAAGAATCAAGGATTGGGCATTGAAGTTCTAATATCTTTGGTATATGCTAAATGCACACAACTAGAAAGACTACAACTGTGGGAGTCGATGTATGAGATGGCAAATAATAGCACGATACCATGGATGGTAGGAGGCGATTTTAATGTTATTAGCAATGAAGAGGAAAAACTAAGGGGAAGACCAGTGACAGACTCAGAAAGTAGAGACTTTAACCACTGTATAAACATGTGCAACTTGGAGGATAAGGGATTCAAAGGAAGCAAGTACACGTGGTGGAATGGTAGAACTGATGAAGAATGCATTTTTAAAAGACTGGATAGAGTGTTGTGTAACGATAAATTACATAATATATTTCCAGTAGTAGAAATTGAACACCTCATAAGGAGTGGGTCCGATCATACGCCATTATTGATCTCATTCAAAGTGACCAACGAGAGAGTTAGTAAACCATTCAGATTTTTGAATTTCTGGATACAGGAAGAATCTTTCAAGGGAGTAGTGCAAGACCATTGGAAAGCGGACTTTGAAGGGGATCCGTTTAGTGTATTTCATCATAAACTAAAAAGGGTCAAGCGAGCATTAACGCAGTGGAGTAAAGAGACCTTTGGCAACATTTTTCAAGAGATAGCTACTTTAGAAGAGATCATTAAAGTAAAAAAGATAATATTTGAAGCAAATCCAACAGGATTAAATCGGGAAACGCTACATAAAGCACAGGCAGCATTAAAAAAACAACTTCATAGAGAAGAAGAATTCTGGAAACAAAAAGCTGGAATGGAGTGGTTTAAGGATGGAGAGAGAAATACAAATTTTTTCCATACCATTGTGAAAGGTAGAAGAAATAGGCTGCATGTAAACAGAATTCAAAGTGAGGAAGGGGAGTGGATAGAGGATCAAGAGGATATAGCAGGAGCAGCAGTGGAATTTTATACCAAACAATTCAAAATGCTAGAGGCCAGTGGAGATTATGAAATGCTGAATGAACTACCACAAGTAGTAAGTGGAGATAGGAATGAGGAGATGCAGAGAGTGCCAACGATAGAAGAGGTCAAAAAAGCGGTTATGGGGCTAAATCAAAATAGTGCAGGAGGACCAGATGGGATGACAGGGGCCTTCTATCAAAGTACTTGGGAAATCATTGGGAATGACATTCATAAAATGACTATAGCTTTTTTCTGTGGAGCTGAACTACCTAGGTACATCACACACACAAATCTAGTCCTTATTCCAAAGAAGATGTTGTTTAGTACATTTTCAGATTTGAGGCCTATTTCTCTGAGTAATTTTGTGAACAAAATTTTTTCATGAATTATCCATGAGAGAATTAAAGAAGTACTCCCTCAAATCATCTCTCCGGAACAAGCAGGATTTGTACAAGGGAGAAGTATAGCAGAGAATGTATTACTGGTTCAAGAAATAATTTCAGAAATAAGAAAAAGGGGAACACCACCTAATTTAGTTATTAAGTTGGATATGATGAAAGCTTATGACAGAGTTGAGTGGCTTTTTCTAACAAAGGTGATGAGGAGACTGGGATTTGGGGATAGAATAATTGATATGGTGTTTAGACTGATTAGCAACAACTGGTACTCAGTTTTGCTAAATGGACAGCCGAAAGGTTTTTTCAAATCCTCAAGAGGTCTCAAACAGGGTGACCCTTTATCACCCACTCTTTTTATATTGGCAGCAGAAGTGATGTCTAGAGCCCTAAACGCCCTAATGATAAAGAAAGAGTTTAAAAGATTTGGTATGCCAAGAGGAAGCTTGAAGCTAAATCATTTAGCGTTTGCGGACGATATGATCATATTATGTAAAGCGGAGGTAGGCACAATGAAAATGGTCAGCGAAACATTGCAGAAGTATGAAGAGATATCTGGACAAAAGGTGAATAAAGACAAAAGTGCAATCTACTTGCACCATAGTGTCAACAGAGGAGAATCAGTGGTAGCAGAAGTAGCAACAGGAATCCTAAGGAAAGAATTTCCTTTTACGTATTTAGGCTGCCCTATCTTTTACAAGAGAAAGCAAAAAACGTACTATAAACAGTTGATTCAAAGGATAGGAGCTAAAATACAAGGATGGAAAGGTAAGTTATTATCTTATGGGGGACGAGCAGTTCTAATTAAACATGTACTACAGAGTATTCCTATACATTGTTTATCAGTCATGAATCCTCCCAGCAATGTCTTAACTGATGTGCAAAAAATGATGGCTCAATTCTTTTGGAGTAGTTGCGTAGGAGGAAGAGGCAGACATTGGAGTAAATGGGGAAACCTATGTCTACCAGAGCAGGAAGGAGGGATAGGTTTTAGACTAATGCATGATATTTCAATGGCTTTGTTTTGTAAGCTTTGGTGGAATTATAGAACAAAGAAGTCTTTATAGAGTGAATACATGAGAAACAAATATTGCAAGTCAAAGAATCAGAATCTGGTCATGTGGAAAGTAGGAGGAGGAGGTTCACAAGTGTGGAAGAAAATGCTACAAGCAAGAGATCTAATCAGCATCAAATACTCTGGCAAACTAAGAATGGATCAGCTTCACTATGGCACGATAACTGGACAGGACTGGGGGACCTGTATACAATTACGGGGGAAAACTTTGCATGGGATGAAAGGTATGAAGTAGTTAGGGATCTAACAAAAAATGGGGAATGGGATATGGATTTATTGAATGAAACACTGCCAGCAGAATATGTTGAACACATCATAAGCCAAACCAAGCCCCCTAAAGGTAACACAGATGACAAACCTTGTTGGATGTTAGATACGAGGGGTGTTTTCTCAGTCAAAAAAGCATGGAACTAAATAAGGCACAAGGAGGAACCAAATATAATACATAGGTGGATTTAGACTAAGGGGACTCCTTTCAAAGTAGCCTTTATGATGTGGAGGTTGTGGAAGTTCAAAATCCCTATGGATGATAGGCTGAGAAGGTGGGGCCTTGAAGGACCTTCAAGATGCTGGTGTTGTGATAAACCTGATCAAGAAACACTATCACATGTGTTTCGAAAATCAGAAATTGCTAACAGGACTTGGTCCTACTTTTGTTCTTTTTGCAGGTCTAAACATTACAGGATTGCAACTAAGGGAAGTTATAATGTTATGGTGGGGGTGCAAACATTAAGACAGATATGAGACCTTATTATAGAGCTATTCCATGATTTATAATTTGGGAACTGTGGAAAAGAAGGAACAAACAGAAGCATGAAGGAAAAAGCACTTCACTTCCCAGAATAATTCACAATGTGACCAGGCACTTGAATATGTTAGCTAAAGTGAAGAGGCCTACCATGAGAGGAGGAAGCTGGCCAGAAATACTTAAGGAACTAGAGGAATATAAGCCTAAAATTAAGGTCGTTCAGGTTAAATGGGAATGCCCACCGGCTGGATGGATCAAATATAACACGGATGGTGCAGCTAAAGGATGTTATGGATTGAGTTCATATGCCTACTGTCTAAGAGATGAGAATGGAGACATTATATTTGCAGAAGGTGCCAAGATTGAAAATACAACAAGTACTATGGCAGAAGCAGTAGCAATTTTAGAAGCCAGCAAACATTGCAAGACCTCTCAATATAATCAGGTCATTATTCAAACTGATTCTATGTTAATGTGCGAAGTGCTAAAAGGAAAATGGGTCACCCCATGGTCACTTTCAGATATTGTGGAAGAAATCAAAACATGCTTACAAGATAAACAATATACAGTTCAACACATTTTGAGGGAGGGAAATCAACTTGCTGACTACCTAGCAAACAAAGCAATAGAACAGGGGACTTGCAGATATGAAGATTTCAAAAGCCTTGAACCACACGGAAGGAGAATCTTAAACAGTGATAAAAGTCAAATCCCATATTTAAGGATATCTTCCTTAAGGAGATAATGGGGAAGGGGAGGCTACAATATAAAGTTTATTCACAATAACAGAATTTACAAAAGCCACAGAGGTGATAAAAGATGTGAAATGCTAAATAGACATGGCTATCTCAGCTAAAAACAACAAGGACTCAGCAATTTGGGGGTTACAAGGTTCAAGCGAGTGAACCTGGAGGAGACACTTATTCCCAGTTGGAAGTGGCGGAATGCAGCTTCCAAGGCACCCCAGGCGAGCACCACCTGGAGAAATGAACTGAGTTCATTGTACCGGAGAAATCAGCTATGAACAAAGATGTCAGAAGCAAAAATAAAGGGGAAGGGAGTAGAGCTGAAAAGGGCACACTTACTAACGATAGATGAAATCCAACTTTGCAAGAATCTCACAGCATAATATTAAATGATCCACAACAACAGGAGATGGAATCCTTTGATCATCCAAAGCAGAAACAAAGCAAAAATGGAAAGGGTTGGAAGGAAAGAAGAGTGGAGGCCAATTGTTTTAGGAAACCCAATATTTGAGGGATGTGTTTTACGGATGGGAATCAGATGGGCTGGATTCCTATGCCTTTATTTTGCTTTTGTTGTTTCATTAATGGATTTGGGTAATAGGTCCAAATTTGTTTTGTTTCTCTTGTAGTACTTTGCTATTTAATAAAAGGCTTTGCCGTATTTTGATTATAAAAAAATGAAAAATAGTGTTATCATATAGGAAAAAACATAATAATAGTTAAAAGTAGATAATAAATGACTAGGAAGCGCAAAGAAATAAACTAAAGAAGAGGTAGGACAAAATTGGATGTCAACAAATATGAAATTATTAACGTAATGAAATTAAATAATTTGAGCAAAATAATAAATAAGAATTTTATCTATTGTAGAGTTTTTTTAATAAAGAATAAAGAAACTTAATTAATAACCTTAAATACCTTCGTGCTTTTAAATTTAAAGTAGACGAATAGATAGGTACTATGTCATGAGTCAAAATACTGTAAAAATAAATAACACTCGTTATACCTCATTACGTAAAGTTAGGACCATAGTTGTAACTTGTATGATAGATCAAATCCTAGTTCATTGGTATAGTATTATATTTAATGAGATAAGTTTAGCAAGGAAATTAATCAATTAATTAAAAAGTTGTTATATTTCCTTTTAAAACCTAAGTTTAATAGGTAATAATTGTCGGAAATCTTATGGAAAATATACTTCATCATGAACTCATGTAGGAATTCTTTACAGCTCGAGGCATGTCAAAAGATACTATCCTTAAGGATAATTCACCTAATATGGATATATCCCACAAGATTCAACGAACTTTTCTAAAATAAAATTAAGAGTCAAAAACTAACAAAGATTCATAAAAGGAAAACTCAGCAAAATTGTAATATCATTTAAAAGGAAGAATATATATGTTTGTTTTTATCTTTTCTCTTTATCTCAGAAGATCTTTGATAATATATGCATCTACAGTAAAATCTCACTAAATTAATATTCGGTAAATTAATAATTTCTTAAAGATAAATTTTTTTTTCAATCCCAACTTGGGACAATGGAAAAAATCACTCATTTCGATAAAATATTTTTAGAAGACCCGTATATAAATATATGGTCCCATTAGTATTATAAATTAATAATTCCTTAAAACTACAAATATATCTAAAAGAATGGAAACAATCACTCTTCTTCTAACTTTTCTTATTGCATTCAAAAGTTCCGGCGTTGTTCTTTCCAACCGCGCCATAAAATTATGAAGAGTTCTAGATGTGATAAATGTTTCCTTATGCCTAACTGCTTTAAAAGGTATTGTATCATCTTTAACTTCATAATCGACATTATTTTTACTAATGGTATCCTCAATTTCTTTGAAGCCTAGACCTCTGAAAATGTATCATTTTCACCCAGATATCCAAACAGGTTATTACTTCCATTTTATTTCGATAACTGAGATCATCAATCATGAATGTTAGAATTTATTTTACATTGAATCATTTAACAAAAAAACATATTACAATGAACCATACACAAACATTGTACTTTATGTATAATGAATTTATTTTTTATGTAAATTCAATAAGTATAACACATAATATAGTGAGATGCAATGATTTTGATGTATTCATTGTACTTTATGTATAATGAATTTATTTTTTATGTAAATTCAATAAGTATAACACATAATATAGTGAGATGCAATGATTTTGATGTATTCATTGTACTTTATGTATAATATATGTTTTATGTAAATTCAATTAATATGATACATAAATGAGTAAGATACAATGATTTTGACATGATCAAAATTAACCTTCGTTAAATCTCAAAACACTCTTTAAATTAATAAAAATAAGTTTTATCGATTAAATAATACAATAACATTCCGTCCACTATAAATTTTGTGAGATTTTACTCTATATAGTAAGGACCATCATTTAAAAAAACTCTCAATGTAACGCCTTTCTTAGCAAAGAAAGTCCAATTCAACTCCAACATTGAAGGCTCAACCAAATCCATTAATGTTTTTTGAGAAATTAGATGAGAAAAAAAGGGGAGACTTGTTTTGGTTCCTAAATTGATATATTAATATTTATTTTGGGTTCCAAATTGATATACTAAGGTTTTTTTTTAATTTCATTAGATAAAAAAAGGTATATTTGAATGATTTATGAAATAATATAAGTATATGTGTACCATTTTTAACTGGGGGGTATCTCATGCCTTATCTTTTTAATATTGGTATTGAGTTATGAAATAAACGATTAGTAAAAGTATTAGAATTCTATAATTAACGGCTTATTAGTGTGAGGGGATTAAATTACCTTATCAGATAAACCGTTAATCTATTAAGAGTTACCATACTTACACCTTTATCTTAAAAAAAATTAGCCTCATTTAATATTTCATCATAATATATAATTATATGTGGTTAATCCTAAAGCGTAAAGCCAAAAACTGAAAACCTGGTTACTTTTCTGTTGTATTAACTATTATATTACTACTATTAATCTATATGTTTGCAATATAAAAGAATTTTATAATTTAACTGCATTTGAAATAGTGAAAAGAAGTATATTCTTTAAGGTGCGTTCATGAAAACAAATAATGTAGAGGTTAGCCGATATAATTGCTAATTTGTTATTGAACCAACCGATATAAACTGGAAACAAACAAGGTAGAGGTCATTTCTCAAACAGGAAAACCCTATCTACCGTTCTCCCCTCTCTCTCTCTCTCTACATTTGCGCATAGACAATTTTGGTATTTGGATCCCCTTTTGTGCATCTAAATCGGAAGATAGAATGGAAACATCAACAATGAATGAGATTGATAGGATAAGTGCATTACCCGTTGATATACTTCACAACATCCTTTCAAATCTCTGTATTTTTTATGTGATTCATATGACTGTATTGTCCAAAAGATGGAAATACATATGCACTACCATCCCCTACTTCCGCTTTGATGGTAGAAACTGTCATTCACTTCTTTACTCAAATTTAGAGGAATTCAAAGAATCTATGTATACCTTCTTAATTTCCCAAAACACGATTAACCTTGTCCGTTAAACCCTCTCATGTAGCGATATGCTTGAAAGCACATATATGTTGCGGTTGATTCATGCAGCAACAAGAAGAAATGTTCAACAACTTGTGTTGGTGTTTTGACATCGTGAGCCATTTGAGTTACCGCATTGTCTTGTAACTTGTGAATCTTTGCAAGTTTTGAAACTAAACTTGTGTGATGATGTACTTGATAGAATGCGTGCGTCCACTCTCAGTCAAGGTACCTGGTCCTTTGACTCAATAAGAACAATACTGAAGAATAAATAATAATAAGAACACAACCCAAGCAATTTACGTGGAAACCTCCTTGCTCAAGGGAGTAAAACCACGACCTGTCACACAGGATTTTCAACTGTTTCCACTAATCTTCCTTAAGCATAAGTGAAACCCAGTTACAACCAAAGTGAGAAAAAACTATTAATCTCACAACCAAGTAATAACTCTATTACTTGAAGAGCCTAAGCAGATGTCACTCTGCCCACTAAGCTATCACCACTAGACAACTTAGAATTTGCCTAAGCAAGACGCAGGTTGCCCATTAAACCACCATGCTTCGGATGACTTAGACTTTAACTAAGCAGCACATACGGCTGCCCACTAAATCAGTTAGACTCAACTGATTTAGACTTTTTCACAAAATAACTATCTGAATCCTTTATAAATGTAGGCACAGATTTACAATGTATGTGCAGAAGAAATAATCCTAAGACAACTAAGCTTGCAGCTCTATCAGGTCCCTGTTGTTCTTGAGGATGATTCTTCACCTTTTGTTAGCCTTTGCAAGAGTTCTTGAGAGTTTTCAAGTTGCAAAAACTAAGGTTATAACTATTGGACATAATCTTTAATAGGAATAGTCACAACCTTCGAGGCAATGCCATTGGCAGAGGTTTCTGCCATTTCTGCCACCGTTGGAGACTGTGCACCAACCAATTGTACTTTTTCCAACCTGACAGTTGTGTGTATATTTGCGCCCGGGATCAAATCGAGATCAGGTCCCTTTACAAGGTCCCGGAGTTTGTCAAATCATCAAAACTACAATTAACGGTACTTAAACTGCCTAATCATTTTGACGGATTTCGTCAGCTGAAATTTCTTCATCTTTCCGGTGTCAAGTTATCAGATGAACATTTGACAAATTGTTTGTTCTCAAAATGTCAACTCCTTGAAAATTTGGAATTAATTGTTTGCAATTTAAAACGTATGAAGCTGCTGTATATTGATTCGGCATCTCTTTTATACATCACTTTTCATGAGGGCAATTTTTATGACAATTGTGAAATCAAAATTTCTTGTCCGGCTCTCAAATTCTTAAAATGTAAATGTCCGATTCCAAAGGATATACAAGAATCTTTTCAATAGAATATGTTGACATCAATTTTCAGGATAATGATGAAAAATGTGATGATTTTGGTTTCTCATTTGAGAAAACTGGAATTCTTGTGCATAAGATGATCAAGGAAGTCCCTTCTATATCAGTTCTGAAACTATGCAAGGTTTCCCTTACGGTAAAGTTTTCTTTGGAATAAGCATACAAGTGTTAAAACATAAACAATGTAATAGATTGTCTAATTTTTCTCATATTTTGTTTTTTCTTATGGTGTTCTAGGATCTGTACGAAGAGGCTCGCCAAGTAAGAGTCTCTCCCATATGCTTTAATAAGCTGAAGTCCTTAAAACTGAAATTGGGAGTTGATGAAGATCATATGCAAGTTATGATACAATTGCTCAAGTATTTGACTAATCTGGAGGTTCTAAAATTGTGGTGCGATGAGGTAAAGCTCTTCATCTTTTTGTGTACAAATTACACTTCTTTTATATGGTAGTTGGTCGATAACTTTTCAAAGTTGATTTACATGAAAAGATTCTTTCAAAATCAGAAAGTGGTGAAATTACGCTTGAAAACTGGCCTCACTAAACTTGCTAAAGAATTTTTTTGTAATAATGCTAAACTATAAACCTATATCCTCTCCAAAATGCTGAAACATGTCACAATGAAAGTCAGATAGGATCTGAATGTTCATCAGTTTTAACTAATACAATTCACTTTGGAAGTTGGAAAGCATCACCTGTATACTCATGCCATTGAATTTAATCATGTTTGGTGTATGGAACTTAATGGTAGAAATAGATTTGAACTATGAAGTGATGTGATGAAAGCCTGAGACGAATAACATGTTGATTGGATGGATGACTTGGTTTGAGTACGTATCATACTTTGCATTTTGCAATACGAACAGATCACTGGGATTTTTGATGAATCAGTGACACTTGAAAGTGAATCCTGTTTGGCATTTTCACTTGTAATGGATAAAATTGTTACTTATGTTAGATTGATTGCTTATTCTGATTTATTGTTGTTTCATTATAAGTGTTTAGTGTACTCGAGAAATTGGTTTCTCTTCTGACTCTCAACTGTCTGCTAGGATGGAGAATGGAGAGAGAATTCTCTAATGTATTATGAATGGTGTGACTATTGGCCAGTACGGGAAGATCAAGGCCGGGGGCATGAGGTTTTCCACCCGATCCCCCTTGGTAAAAAATTACACTGTACATATAAGGTAATTCTTTACTTCTTATGTATATATATATATATACATATATAGATTTTGAGTCCCCTAAACACAAGACTAGAGGCTGACTCAGTGATTTAGGGAGTTCAAAAGTCACCTTGGGGTTGCAAGTTTCAGATCTCAAACAGAACATTTCTATTTATCGAACTCCCTTAATGAAAATCTAAGATCCATCATTGTTGGCAGATGCATGATCCTGAAGAAAGCATTGTGTGCTTGGACTCTCATCTAAAGTCGATTCAGTTGATTGGTTTCAAAGATGAAGAAAACGAGATAGAACTACTAAGGATTTTTCTGAAGAATGCACGGGTATTGGAAAAACTTACGATTGTTTGGGCTGGTTATGCTCTAAAATCAGAGGAGGCATCGAAGAAGGTTTTGAATATTCCTAGAACTTCTTCACAAGTTCTTCTGACATTTCACGATGCCAAGCTCAAACGGAAGTCTGATAACTGGTTGGATTATTGTTAAAAAACTTACGATGCCAAGATGATTATTCGATTGTTAGATTTACTCTTATTGGAATTTTCTGACTTAAAGATCCAAGTAAGAACCAAACTGTATTAGACATGGATCCTTGTGGTTTATGAAACTTGTATGGTGGCAATAGAGTAACTTTGAAGGTCAAGTCTTGTTTCTACTGGGAAGAAAAAATTATGATGTTGATGTTTTTGCAACTTGTTAATCTCACATTGTTTGTTTAAAATCAATATGTATGTAAATGGTATGTAAGAAAAAAAAAAGATATAAAATCTAGTAACAAAATTACATGTAAAGGGCACAACTAAAAAGCTGCACTTCTAAGAAATTAGAAACCACAGGTATGTATTATTCTTCTTCTTGTTCTTTCATTTAATTCCTAGTTTCCTGTTTTCCTTTAAATATCAAGCTTATTCATTAGTTGAATTTTGCATCATAGAGAAGAAAATAAGAAATATTAGTCATACCCTTCTTTAATAGGAATGTATAGCGGACCGTTTGGTTGGGAACAAGTCATCCCAGAATTAGTTCTCATAGGATAACTTATCCCATCACTATGGTGGGAACAGTTATTCCAAACAAGACACAAAAAATTTATCCCTTCACTATTTATTTTTATCCTTCATACCAAACAATCCTTAAGTTTCTTCTAACTGCTCATCGCATAAACAACTGTCATTCACCACAAGGATGAGTGTTTTTACATTTCTTTCAACACTTGGGCACATATTTTGTTGTCTTACCAATAGTTTGACATATTTACATCTACAATACTCAATGTTAATAAATTCAAAAGTAGAAACATGAGCAAAAGTAGTAAACTGAACACCAAGAAAACAAAATTGCAATTACGCTTGTAACAATGGGATAAAAGTGAAATTGTTTTAATAAAATATACCTATAAGAAAAGGAAGAAGAAAAAAAAATTGCAATTACATTACAACAGCTAAGGGATGTCATGTTGAAATTAATCAAAGCTGGGAGTTGCTAAGAAACGTGATCACGCATCTGGTATTTTGGAACAATTTATCTATTTTTTGCCAAACTGCAGATTGAACTTCTAAAAGCTTTCTTGCCTTCTCCTGCAGTTTTGACTGACGTCGGACTGTTTCACCATGAATCTGTCCAGCACAAATTAAAAGAGATGTTAAATGGTATTTATTCAAACAGACATCATAGAGAAATTTTAAGCAGGACTATCAGAAATGGAGCCTCAGAACATTCTTTGAACCTAAACTTGATTATCTCTCTCATCAATGTCGAACAGAGAAAATATACTAGAGAGCTTGTGAATGCAGAAATTTACCTTCAAAAACAATCTAATCAGAGCCTGTATATATTCGAAATTGCTTCTGCATGAAATCTCGTGTATAAAGTAATCAAGTAGCAGTTCAATAAAATGCAATTCTTGTCTCTTCTCAGGCTCCTGCTCATCATCGTCATCTATTATCTGAAGCATTCGCAGCTCCATATCCAATATTGAAGGAGACAAGCTTTTGATATGATTAGTGAATGGTGCAACTGCAAAAGGCAATATATGTGTCATACCTAGAGCCTGTCCAATAACGAAAGTAGATACACAATAAGAGAAGGAGAGGAGCTTACAATTCTCTTTCTCCGCACATGACTTGAGAATTTGCAAGAATTTGGATACTGGAAGATCCGTTTTCTTACTGCTCTCTTCCAATCTGGTATTTTGTGCATTACTCTCCTCATTAGTACCTTCACTTGGTTTAAATAATATCTCACCGGACAGAGATGGAATTGAAGGCAAGAAAAAAGGTGCCTTTTCAGGTTTCTTTGGAGGCTCGATAGGTTTGTTGCGGGCTTTTATTATGTCCAGGTTGATCAAGCTCTGCCATTGACTCTTAGGCAAAAGTGAAAGAGTGACTAGATCTGGAATTTGATGGCTGGAATTTAGAAACTGAGAAGTATCAGAGGACTCCAATGGCTCAAAGATAGTCCTATTATCGCTTTTGTCACCATCTTTTTCAGAAGCAGCAGACGGCATCTTAACATTGACTATTTCTTTTCCACTTCCATATGATGCAAAGCTGGCTGCTCCAGAGAACATCGCTTGATTGACCCACAGATAGACACCATTTTGATCAACATGCGATGTGGCCAAGATATCCATATTAGGCGATAAAGATAATGCAGTGATAGACAGATCAACTTGTATTGCATCTATCTGTCTAGCTAAAATTACATCCCAGATTCTGAGAGTCCCATCCATACTGGATGTCAAAAGCCATTTCCCATCCTCACTAAAGCACATGTCAGTAATACGGTCAGAATGACCCTCAAATTTTCGAACCAACCTCTGTGCAATAACATCAAATAGACGGATAACTAAGTCATCTGCCACTGTAGCCAAAAGACCATTAGAACGGTGGAACACAATCTTAACTAAGGAACACCCAACCTTCCACTTATATTTTAACTGGCGGCATTTGAAGTCCCAAACTTTTACATCGCCATGGTATCCAGCACTTATCATGATGGTGTTTGTCGCATCACAAGCTATGCCAATTACTTCCCCATTGTGAGCAGCACTTTCACCTTCTAACGCATCAACATAATTGCCACGGCTGATTCCTGACTGAAGATTAAACCGCTCAATCCAACCGCCGGCCGTCCCTAGTACAGCAAAGTTTCCACAGGCACTAATAGCGCAAGCCTTGACTGGAGTTGGATTTTCAGGGCATGGAGTTAAAATATGCTCGCCAAGAACAAAATTTTGAAGCCTCCATACATAAGCACGCGGGGTGTCCATATGACATGTAACCACATTGCACCAATCACGTTCCCTAATTTCAGCAACATCGAATGCAATAACAGGCTTCAATTTTATCTCCTCCTTTTTCAACTTAAGCTTCTTCGCTCTTTTAGAAACATGTCGCTGGGAAAGTTCTCTACTTTGTTGATCTTGAACAACAGAAAAGAGACGGAAGGCTCGATCTTGACCAGCAGATAAGATGTGGCGCCCATTTGCATAGAACTTGATACATAGAGGAGGAGCACTATGACCACTTCTAAACCGTAGTAAACGAGGTTCCCCATCACTTGTATCGAAGATCCACATTTTCATTGAATTATCTGCAGATGAACTCATGAGGACAGGCTCATTAGCAAAGAACTGAAGTGAAACTATGGAAGAGTCATGGGCCTCCTTGATGACAGAGTGCAGCCTTCTCTTCTCAAGATTCCATATGCTTATAACACCAGATGAACCTCCAGAAGCAAGAAGGGGCTGCCCATCAGTGCTGAATGACAAGGCATTAACGGCGCCTCTTGTAGAGTGACTAAATGAAGCTACCTCTTCATCATAGCGAATGTTATGAACGTGAATCTTCCCATCCGCACATCCAACAGCAATAACATCTAGTGCTGGAGATGAAACACAACAAGTAATAGAAGATCCCCATCCCTTGAACTCATGAATTTTCTTCTTTGTGCTTATATTCCAGAGTTGCAAAGCACCTTCTTGACTTCCTAAAACAACCTGTTTACAAGCCACTTGATGAGATTAATCTGTCAAATGAAACATAGGAAGCCAAAGATTTAGCTAAACTATTACCTTTTTACTCGTTTACGATGCGTGAGTTTTTCATTTTGTTTTGGGGTTTCCAGGGAAATGGGGGAGTGAGGGTTGTATTAACTATTGTCACAAACCCCATGCTTCAATTATTGTGTTATTCAAAAGTTGAAAATAGAAAATTCATACCTTATTTAAATAAGTATCTGGATGCATTATGCAGCTAGGGGAGAATTCGTCCTCTAACTTTATGTGTCCGATTGGAGCAGGATTTTTGTCTATACCTTTAAATTGCCATATGAAGATATTGCCTTCAACATCAACACTTAGGACGTGTTCACCAAAAATAAGCAATTGGTTCACCTTAGCACTATGTCCACTCCATGTTGCCACCTGACCAAAGAAAACCGAATCATTTGCACCAAAAAAACATAAAAAGGCTCATTAATTCACACTGAAAGTCGACGATGAGCCCAAAAGAATAATCTTAACCAAGATACTTAAAAGGAAAAAACGAGGGGGGAAAAAAGGTGTTAATAACATATCAAGTAGAAAGAATGACACAGTAGCAGGTATCATAAGGACCCAAGCCTCGCACCACTTGACCAAAGTCTGACCTTCATCCAAACAAAATGAAGGCAAAAGGAGAGGAAGATCAAGAAGGGGGTATATTCAACGAAAGATCCTCTGACATCAGATGCTTCAGTAGAATTCTTTCCGTCATCCTACTTTAGAAACATTCAGATCATCCATCCACCCACAAGTTATGGGAAGTCAAAACGCATCCTCAAAAGTAAAACTTTCCAGAGATCATGGTTTGTTTGTGAATGACAAATGACAGAAGTAACAGTATATGTTGCTCGGACTCTTCAAAAATGTCAACGGGTGCGTGTCGGATTCGCCAAAAGTAGTGTATTTTTGAAGAATCCGAGACGAGTGCGGCATCAAAAGTGAAGAGTCCGCGCAACTAAGAGTCTGTATAGCAATAATGGCCCCAACACAAGGCCAAGAAATCTTCAAAGCATATTAGAAAATTAGAAGGCGTTCTTCAAACTGATACAACAGTAATGTGATCAATCATCAAAAGATTCTTTTATCTCTTCATGGAAGTTCGTTAGAGCTGGGATGCCTTTGAGCCTCCTCAACAAAGTAACATGCACAGTTTTTATTATTGTGTGTTTGTGTGTGTGTGTGTGTTGGGGGGGGGGAGAGAGCAGGCAAGATCCTACAAACCCTTATCAAGATTAATATGTTTAGAGGAAAAAACAAACCTGATGAGCACGCTTGACAACCGCAATGTCACTCCCATAGGCAGCAAAAGTATATTCACGATAAGAAGCAAGAGCTCGAATCTTCTTTGGCAATTGTGGGCCTTTATTGAAAATCCAAATATGAATGTTGAGGGAGTGCAAGGAAAAAAATTAAGGATGAAATTAAATAACGCCACAAAGAATTAGATACTACTTTTTCCACCACACAATAGGTTGAACACCACTTAAATTAGGTCTGATGTTTGCCAGAAGTCTTTATTCAGGTTTGACACTTGTATTTAAGTATAGAGATAAATGAAGATTCAGAGAAAACTATAATTTTAGTAACCAGTAAATTGCTTTGAAAAGACAGATGAATTGATGTTGAAATGAAAAGGATGCAAATAGAGTGGAATGGATATAGAAACCATATAGCCAACCCCAACTACTCTGGGATCGAGGCATCATTGATTTTTAGACAATAATCTGAACATGGCAGTAGAGCCAACTAGTACAGGCCACAATCTAGTATTAGAACTAATAATAAGAAGTAAAATTAAACC